AACATGTTAGACGTGGGAGTGTCTGGTTCAAAAAGACAGTTAAAATCACCTTGACCTATATTAAAAAAAATTAACATCTAAATATATCTTGGAATAGAATCACGAAATTGAAGACACGAATGCAAACAATTTTAAAAATTAAAACAGAAAATAGTAAATATTATTTCTAAATTAAAGAACAAAAAATATACTATAGGAAAAAGAACCATCAATAGATAGTTTATATAAGGAAAATTTGAGAAGACTTTTTTTAGTTTTTAAGAAAGAGTAATTAAAAAGGTAACATGTAAAATTAAAAAATAAGATTAAAACAATATATAACATACAAATAATAATACATATAATATAATATAAACTTAAATCATTATAACTTGTGTTCCTTACAGGGTCTCTTTTTTTTTTTTTTCTCTCCAACTCCATTGACATGCTTAACATATTCGTTTAGTGATGTCTTTTATCAATACAACATGACAAAACGTGACCAAGTAGGTCCTCGTGTCAAGACACGCCAATTTCTTTTTTAGTAAACTCCACCTAACCTGCCCTATCCTCCATCGAAACGTGGACGAACGGTCTGGTTAAGAGAACATAGGGATAAAAGAAAGAAAGAAAGAAAAAAAGAAAGAAAGAAAGAAAGAAAGAAACTGAAAAACAGTGAGAATAAGTTAGGGAGGAATGAAAGAGAACAGATATCAAAGAAAGAAATAAAGAAAAAAAGAAAAAAGAAAGAAAAGAAAAGAAAAGACACAGATCATAAGTCAGTGAAGCAAAAATGGAGGCAAGAATGAAAGCAAACAGTTTTCTAAGAAAAATCCTTAAGAAAGAAAAAAGTAAGAAAAACAGAGAAAGCGAAAAGACTGAAAAAAAGGAAGGTAAGAAAAAAAGAAAGCCATTATCTAAGAAAACGTCGAAAGAAAGAAAGAATGAAAAAGTAAAGACAGAGAAAGAAAATGAAGGAAGGAATGAAAGAAAACAGTTATCTAATAAAAATTCCAAAGAAAGAAAGAAAGAAAGAAAGAAAGAAAGAAATAAAGAATGAATGAAAGATAGAAAGAAAGAAGGAAAAGGGGGGAATGATTGAAAGATATAGCGGCAAGACAGTGAAATAAAAGGGATTGGAAGAATGAAAGTTAACACTCATCAAAGAAAGAAAGAAAGAAAGAAAGAAAGAAAGAAAATATAGAGACTGCAAAGACTGTGAAAGAAAATGGATGGAAAAATGAAAGAAAACAATCATCTAATAAAAGAAAGAAAGAAAGTAGGAAAAATATAGAGACCACAAAGCCTGTGAAAGAAAATCGATGGGAAAATGAAAGAAAACAGAAAGAAAGAAAGAAAGAATGAATGAATGAATGAATTAATGAATGAATGAAAAATAAGAAAGAAAATGATAGAAAAAGATAGCGGCAAGACAGTGAAATAAAAGGAATTTGAAGAATGAAAGTTAACACTAATTTTAGCTATTTATAGCACAATAATTTTATCTGTAGTTGAAGGCAAACAACTGCGTTCAAAATAAATTTAGTCGGAGCCATAAAATTGTGTTCAAAATATTTAGATTTCGACATTAAATAACTTGTAGCTTACGAACGGCAGATGAAAGTTTTGAGGAACGTGAAACTACTTCTTAATTGCTGTTGTTCCCAGGTCCACCGGGGTAGTAGCACCTGTTAGGGTCCCAGCTATGGGCAAAGAGTTAAACCCTAACTGAAGTCAAAACACTATGAAAGTATAAAAATAGATTTTTATAGTAAAAATAACAGCAATACATTTATGGAAAAAATATTACCAGCAATACAATAAAACCTTCTTTATCAATATACGTCAATAAAATCTGATCTACACACTAATTTTTTACAAATAATACATATTTTGTTTATACGAAACTATCCTCAGCATTAAATAGCCCATTGAGGTTGATATATCGTAAAACAAAATAAACAAATCCAAACCAAATTTCTTCATTTGTTAACGAATTTCGCCTCCAGTTTAAAATATTAAATAACAAAGACTTAACTTAGACATGGAAGTCATATGCTTGGTTTTTCTAACTTTTTAAAAATAAAGATTGTTTTTAGATATAAAAATAATTAATAAATTATTCTTCTGTTACCCTGGGGCATACTGAGTACCTTTCAGGGCTCGTTAGTTTGCCCGGGCTCTATTTTGGTAACAAAGAAAAGGATGCTGAGATGTTACATGGCATCTGTCCTTCTTTACGGCAGCGACTGCTGGACGATTTCTTCAAGGATGAAGAAGAGACTCGAGGTGACTGAGATATGGTTCTACAGACGAATTCTGAGGATTTCGCGGACCAATCGTGGAAGCAAAGATGAGGTCTTGGAGAGGATGCCGACAAGGAGGAGGCTCGTGGTTAACATCAGGAAGAGGCAGCTGAAGTTTCTTGGACACATAATGATGAAGGAGGGCCTTGAGAATGTGATACCCACGAGTCGAAAATGATACAAGGGAAAGCAGCGCGTGACATTCCAGGCGGGCTTGAGCAGGTGGATGACAGAACGTGGTCTGGGGAAGATGTGGAGAGCCATGATCGCCTATGTCCTGAAAGGAGATGGCACATAAAAAGAAAAGAAAACCCCCAATAAAACTGATCAATGGGCACATCTTTAGGTTTGATTTGCAAGCCACGGTCAGCACATAGTGAACAGCTTCTCTTCTGTTAACGATAATCTAACGTCATCACTTGAAACGTCAATGAAAGGGCTGCGAATCCAGTCATATTGTTTAATGTTGATAGATGGAACGCAATTAATCCGCAGATTATCTTCCAGATTTCTTAAATGGTCCGTTAATAGAGGGATTAAATCGTTTGCGTCAGTGCTCCTCGATGTTTGTGGCCCATTTCTGGTGTCAGTATTTTTCAGACCCACATGAGCAGAGATGGAACAAATCTACGAAATCCAATATACCCATCGTGACACTAACAGTAATAAAGGTATACCAGGTACATGCATTGCAGCCAAATGTGCGCGATATGGTGAGAGACTTTGATAAAGGCAAGACCTGGCCTCACAGGAGGGGCTCAGAAATAATATTGTTACCATATATGGTCTGGCGCACCTGCTATTCATCTCGAGGTTCTCGACAAAATCCAAAGAAGGATCTGCAATATAATCGATCCTGACTTGGCATCTCGAATTCAGTCACATGGCTTTCCTCTGTCTCTTTATAAAATGGTAAATAATTAATCTTTATAAATTGATAAATAAAAACCTTGTCGCGGGAGTCAAAAATGATGGCGGTGTCAAGGGAATAACCGTCCCTTTGAAACATTATTTTTTTTCGGACACGAAAGTTAAACACGGACAAATTATTTGACCGAAAATTGTTGACCGAAATGACGCTATGCTCAGCGGTGTTCTCAAGTATATCTAGTGATGACCCCCAAGTTTCCTTGGCTGCCTCATTTTTCAAACGTAAAAAAGCAACTCTACCTACACCGAGCTACGACGGGGAACAACTACTCCCGCTCATGAACAGAGATGCAAAACGCGTTAACCTTTAGGGGACACGCCCAAATTATTATTATTATTATTGAATAAAAGAGTATACCAAAAAAGTGATGGTGGGACAAATCTACGAAGTCCAAAATACCCATCATGACACCCAGGCGAATAACGGTATACCAGGCACACGCTTTGCATTCAAATGTGTGCGATATGGTGGGAGGCTTTGACAAAGGCAAGACCTGACCTCGCAGGAGGGGCTCAGAAATAATATTGTTACCATATATGGTCTGGCGCCCCTGCTGTTCATCTCGAGGTTCCCGACAAAATGCCAAAGTCTGATCTGTAATGTGATCGATCCTGACTTGGCGCCTCCACTCCAGTCACGTGGTTTACCTCTATCTTTTTATAAAATGGTAAATAATAAATCTTTATCAATCGGTAAATAATAAATCTTTATTAATTGGTAAATAATAAATCTTTATTAATAGGTAAATAATAAATCTTTATAAATTGGTAAATAATAAATCTTTATTAATAGGTAAATAATAAAACTTTATAAAATGGTAAATAATAAATCTTTATACATTGGTAAATAAAAACATTGTCGCGGGAGTCAAAAATGATGGCGGTGTCAAGGGAATAACCGTCCGTTTGAAACTTTTTTTTTTCGGACACGAAGTTTAAACACTGACAAATTATTGTTGACCGAAATGACGCTGAGATACAAATGCTCAGCGGTGTTCTCAAGTATATCTTGACATGACCCCCAAGTTTCCTTGGCTGACTCATTCTTCAAACATAAAAAAGCAAATCTACCGACACCGAGCTACGACGGGGAACAACTACTCCCGCTCATGAACAAAGATGCAAAACGCGTTAACCTTTAAGGGACACGCCCAAATTATTATTATTATTGAATAAAATAATCTACCAACAACGTGATGGGGGGGGGTACAAATCAATGACGTTCAAAATACCCATCGTGACACCCAAGCAAATAAGGGTATACCAGGCACACGCTTTGCAGCCAAATGGGTGCAATATGATGAGGTGTTCTAATAAAAGCAGCGTATAACCTGCTGGTGCGGCCCAATTAGAAATATTTTCAGGTTGGTTAATCCAATCTACTAAGATATTCACCCATTGGGTGTTCCCAACTAGTGAGATGTGTCTCTTAATTTGATTGGCTGCCTTGCCTTTCAAATAAATAAATAAAAATCACTATTCATCTAAATCTGTTCTTCGTAAACTTTTTCTATTTATGACGCCATTGTTCATGAGGAGATTTTTCGCGATCCCAGGTATTAACCAACTACACTGAAAATACATCCGTTGTTAATGCACGAGTCGCAACGGCGTCGCACGCTCATTTTATTACTGCAACGCATGCGTGTTGCATCCTGTTAAATAGTGTTGCAAAATAGCATAGAACCTGAAAGTGTTTGAATTTGATTTTCGCGAGCCCAGCATTTCGATTCGAGATCCCATTTGGGGTCGCAATACATAGTTTAAGAAACGCTGATATAAATAATGGCAATAAACGCAAACTTCTTCTTCTTTTTTCTAACTTCTCCTCGTCCCCATTGTTCTTCTTCTTCTTTTTCTAACATCTTCGCTCCCCATTCTTCTTCTTCTTCTTCTTCTTCTTGCTCTCATCTCTCTCCTCCTTGTCCACATCTTACTTCTCCCTTCTCCTCTTCCTAAGGCTTCCTCTTCCTAAGGTATTCCTTTTCCTTCCATTCACCCTTCTTCTTCTTCTTCTCCTCATCCTGTTGTTGTTGTTGTTGTTGTTGTTGTTGTTGTTGTTGAAGAAGAAGAAGAAGAAGAAGAAGAAGAAGAAGAAGAAAAGCGATAAGGTTGCGATGCTAAGTCCGTGGGATAGGGTCTGCAGCTAAACGATTTTGAACTCTGTCAAGGCTGGAGGGTAAGAATTGTTCAGCGCCATCCCAAATAGCTCAGCAATACTCCATTTGATTAGACTCCAATAAAGATAGAATATGGCTGGAGCCGGATAATTCCTGGAGCGGTACAACGAGACTCTCTTTAGCGATGGATCGTATATATGAGTTCGACTTGATGTCTGAACTTGAGTCTCAAAAGCAGTATTCTTTTTGTGGGTTAAAGTGTACCAAGCTTAATGTAACGATCTTGACAGTCAGTTTGACAAAGGTATACCAGGCAGATGCCTCACAGCCAAATTTGCGCGATATGGTGAGAAGATTTTGATCAAACAGCCCATAAATTTGCATCCCCGTCCACTTCAAAATACCTTCAGACCGGATAAGCTAGTCTGCACAGATAGTTTCCGACTGAGGTGTTCCGAAATATCTAGATATATCTCCCACGTCGTCTTGTCTGCCTCATCGTTCACATTAAAATATTTTTTTAAATTAAGAAAAATAATTCTTAATTTTAAAAAGTGCTTTTTAATTAAAAAATACTTTTTTAATGTCATATCCTTTCCGAAGTAGGCAATTACGGCCCTCCACGGATATCTTTTCTTTATTATTTGTGAATTACCATGACTTGCGAAAGGTAGTGAAATGATTTCCTGTTGCTTTCTCTATTGATTAACATGTAGCGCAGTCCTCGCCTGGACCGGTTTCCACTCAAGGTAAGAATACCCCGTCTACCCTGATATTTAACCCATAGCTGGTGGAGGAGAAGAGACATGTTTATGGACCTAAAAATTTGACGTAACCGAAGGTTAATGTAACCGGCCAGGTTGAGATTTGAACTCGGATCGTCGATTCCACCGTTACACTAAAAATAAATATTATTGTTGCTGTTATTGACCAAGAGAACATCATATCAACAAAGTGACAATAGGGTACAAATATATGTCACCCAATATATCCACCCCCACCTCATGTCACTCAGTCTGATAAGCGTATATCACGCACATGCATCACAGGCAAATTTGCGCGGTATGGTGAAAGGCTTTGGTTAAAGACAACGCCTAACCTCAAAGGTGGGGTCCAGTTAGAAATAACCTCTAGTCGGGTGACTTAATCGCTTTTTTGATTGCCAGTATCCCAAGTCACCATTTCTGCCTCATCCTTCAAAGCTAAAATATAAATAATCGTTTTGACCTCTTTCCATAATGCTTTTCTACTACTCCCCCTCATGAACAGAGATGAATCTAGAAACATGCTTGAATGGTTAAGGTCAAGCAACTGGCATGCAAAAATCTGTACTACTGGACCGGGTCATTAATATAGCACATCAAAATTCACAACAAAAAAAAACTTGTATATTTAAGCATATTTAATCAATTAAAAATCATAAGCCACGAAAGCCTTATATAGTGTATCAATCTTTTTCTTCATCTTCTTTTTTCTTCATCTCTTTCTTTGTCTTCATCTCTTTCTTTTCCTTTCTCTCCTTTTTTCTTTTCTCTCTTTTTTCTTTCCCTCTTTTTCCTTTCTCTCCTTTTTTCTTTTCTCTCCTTTTCCTTTCTCTCTTTTTCCTTTTCTTTCTCCTTTTTTTTCTCTTTCCTTTTCTCTTTTTTCCTCTCTTTTCTTTCTCTCGTTTTTTTCCCCTTTTTCTTCTTTTTTTTTTTCTCTTTTTTCCTTTCTCTCTTTTTCCTTTCTCTCGTTTTTCTTTCCCTCTTTTTCCTTTCTCTTCTTTTCCTTTCTCTCTTTTTTCCTTTCTCTCTTTTTCCTTTCTCTCCTTTTCCTTTCTCTCTTTTTCCTTTCTCTCCTTTTTTTCTCTTTTCTTTCTCTCTTTTCCTTTCTCTCTTTTTCCTTTCTCTCCTTTTCCTTTTCTCCTTTTCTTTCCCCTTTTCCTTTCTCTCTCCTTTTCCTTTTCTCTTTTTTTCCTTTCTCTCCTTTTTTCCTTTCTCTCTTTTTCCTTTCTCTCCTTTTCCTTTCTCTCTTTTTCCTTTCTCTCCTTTTTCCTTTCTCTCCTTTTACCTTTCTCTCTTTTTCCTTTCTCTCCTTTTTCCTTTCTCTCCTTTTTTTCTCCTTTTCCTTTCTCTCTTTTTCCTTTTTCTCTCCTTTTCCTTTTCTCTCTTTTTCCTTTCTCTCTTTTTTTCCTTCCTCTCTTTTTTTTTTTTCTCTCTTTTTCCTTTTCTCTCTTTTTCTTTCCCTCTTTTCATTTCTCTCCTTTTTTTCCCTTTCTCTTTTTTTCCTTTCTCTCCTTTTCCTTTCTCTCTTTTTTTCCTCTTTTCTCTTTTTTCCTTTTCTTTTTTTTTACTTTCTCTCTTTTTTTCCGTTTTTTCTCTCCCTTTTTTCCTTTCTCTCCTTTTTCCTTTCTCTCTCCTCTTTTCCTTTTCTCTTTTCCTTTTCTCCTTTTCCTTTTCTCTCTTTTTTCCTTTTTCTCCCTTTCCTTTCTCTTTTTCCTTTTTCTCTTTTTTCCTCTCCTTTTTCTTTCTCTCCTTTTCTCTTTCCTTTCTCTCCTTTTCCTTTCTCTCCTTTTCCTTTCCCTCTTTTTCATTTCTCTCCTTTTCCTTTCCCTCTTTTTCATTTCTCTTTTTTCCTTTCTCTCTTTTTCCTTTCTCACTTTTTCCTTTCTCTCCTTTTCCTTTCTCTCCTTTTTCCTTTCTCTCTTTTTCCTTTCTCTTTTGACTTGGGAAATGCAGTGAAATGATCACCCAGTCTGATAAGCGTACATCAGACGCATACATCTCAGTCAAATCTGCGGGATACAGTGAAAGGTTTTTAGTACAAACAGCGCCTAACCTCAAAAGTTGGGCTCGATTAGAAAATACATTCAGGTTTGTTAACCCAATCTACCCTGATTGAACATTTCCAAGTATCTAAGTGTGACTCCTAATTCGCCTTTGCTGACTGATTTTAACAATTCTCTCAACACCTGGCCGTTATGTACCTCTACTAATACTACTTCTATATGCCGCGTCCCTTCAGAGCGTAGACGATCATGGCTCTCCACAATTTCCTATACTTTGTAGTTCTTAATAAATTTTGTATTTTTGGCATCTCTCGTATACATTGTTCGGCCATATATTTACTGAATTCCTTTCAAAGCGTATACGATCATGGCTCTCCACAATTTCCTCTCTTTTGTAGCTCTTAAAAAATGTTGTCTTTTTGTTAGTTCTCCTAAACCCTGTTCCGCCTTCTATTTACTCACGCTCACTAATAATGTTATGCGTTGTTTTTCTCTGTCCCTCTTGCCTTCAATTTTTTCCTGTGAGTATAAGATTTTCCAAGCCCTCTTTCCTCATTACATGCCTTTGAAATATCAACAGTCTCTTCCAGAGGTTATATTTCCTTTTTTTTTCCATTTTCACTAAAACTTTCGGTATATGGTATCCTCAGCATCCTTCTGGAGTACCACATTTCTGTTGCTTCAAGTCTATTCTTCATCTTCGAGGCGATTGTTCAGCATTCACTGCACTATCAGTCGTTGCTCATGCATTCCTTCTACTACACCTGCTCCTAAACAGATGCAATGTACGTTGGCCCCTAAGGAACATGTGCACTCGCTATGATCAGACAACTGACGAACAGATTTGTGATACGGAACGAGACATTTACTGTAGATATCAATGCACCAAGACAAAATATGTACTTATTAACACCTCGATTATTATTATTATTATTATTATTTTGAAACAATGTTTCTTCACCTGCATATAATTACACTTCGCTATCGCTTCGCAAAATAAGATATATTCACTACATCAAATCTTTGAAAGAAAATTTTAAATAAACATTTCATTCATAAATTGGCTTTTTATAGTTAAGGAAAGATTTACAAATAGATGCCAACTTGTTGAAGACCAAGTAAAATGAAAATTTCAAACACTTTTCTGCACTATATAAGACGATATTCTTGAACAGAATTATTTTTTATATGAAAATCAAAAAATCTTTGAATAAAAGAACATTAATGAAAGACAGTTAATTAATGAAATGTGCTTTTTTAAAATCAATATGCAATTTAGTTAAACCTGGAAAGTAAAGGCTCCTAGAAGTGGATAATATATAATACAGATATTGATCTTTCAGCGTGTAAATTCCTCTTTTAGGGTAATTTCACGTTTTCTTATCATCTCTCAGGTGCTCGGGGAATTTTTGTTCCTTGCACGGGTGCACGCGCTCGGGCTCCCCACATTAAACCGACCTTGTGTCACAACCTGACCTTGTGGGGGGTCAAGTAAATACCGTGTAAATTCCTCTTTGGGGTAATTTCACGTTTTCTTATCATCTCTCAGTTGCGTCTCTGTCTTTGGACAGAGTGCGCTCAGGGGCGACCTCGTCAAAGGACAGAATCACAATTGAGAAAAATTATACTGAGAAGTGCCTGGCCCTGGTGAACAGCTGCCCAAGGCCCCGCCTTCTCATTGCACTAGAGAGAAGGATCGGTGCACGCACTGAGGCCAGCGCAACCAACGGTTGCGGGGGCTCGGTGAAATTTTTTTCCTTGCCCGGGTGCATGCGCTCGGGCTCCCCACATTAAACCGACCTTATGTCACAACCTGACCTCAGGTGTGGGGGGAGTAAATACCGTATAAATTCCTCTTTGGAGGGATTTTAACGCAGACTTATCATCTCTCAGTTGCGTATCTGTCTTTGGGCAGAGTGTGCTCAGGGGCTTCTCTGTCAAAGGACAGAGGGGCAACTGGGAAAAATTATACTGAGAGGTGCCCAGCCCTGGGGAACAGCTGCCCGAGTCCGCGCCCTCCCATTGCACCAGAGGGACGGTCGGTGCTCGCACCGAGGCCCGCGCAATCGACGGTTGCGGGGGCTGAGGGAAATTTTTGCCCTTGTCCCGAGCGCACGCGCTCTTTTCCCCACCAAAAAAAGACCTTGTGTCACATCTTGTCCAAGTGGAGGGAAGGAGTTAATACTGCCTATCAATTGGACTTTTAACCCCAGAATTCGTTGGATAATTGTGCTCCAATTTTGCATTTATTCATATGGATTCCATAATATAGGTTTTTACTTAATTAGCTATTATGTTTCTCTAACTCTTCAAATGTTGAATGTATAACTAATTCTAATTTCTATTTTCCAGTCTTTACTCTATATTAATTTTATCTTATACATTGTCCCCTGTTCTATCACCCATGAAATAAAAATAATTGTTTGTACGGAAAATAAGGACCTACGTGCATCAAATCGTCTTTAAATTAAGAGGCAGCAGAAGAATTATCGTTAAACTTTTAATAGTTAAGCTTAAATATTAACGCAATACTTAAATGCAGCGATCAATTTTGAGTTCTTCTGTAGTTTATTGATGCCTATTGCATCTATTCCTCGCTAGCTATTGTGATGATGGCCAAACCAAGAGACCTCCACCGGAGCTAGTTTTATGTTGTCCCATAGGGCAGCTTTTAAGTTAGTTTATAATAAAACGTGCACTGCAATTTTGGATACAAATGGAAAATAAGAGTTACTCCCCCTGAACCATGAAAGCAAAGATAATGGCTAGTATAATATATATTTTTAAACTCGCATAATCTGGCAAACTTGAATCTGAGCTCAACGAAAATGGTCCCCTGTGCCTATTTTTTCTAAGGCTTTCGAAGGAGCTATGAATCATTGTAATCAGACCAGTGGTAACAGAGGAGTTGCACACACACACATACACTGTAATTTATATATAAGATGATGTCAGTTCCACTCGAGCAGATTCTTCCCACGAACCCCTGCTTTTTGGAACCGACTACTATTAATCATGACATCCAGTCAGATAAGTGTATACCAAGCACATGCAGCTCAGACAAATGAAGTTGGCGATTGTGCACACCATCAACTGAATAGAAAGAACTCTCTATAAGAAACTTCCAGAAATATTTGAAACAATGGAAATCTGAGTAAACAATTAAAACCGACCAGGTTAGTATTCCTAGACAGAAGAATTGCGTAGAATATAGAGGGGGGGCTGATAGAGTAGGCTAAAAACTTGCCACCCTTTGAGTGTAGAAAACTAACAGTTGGCTTGAAAACACACACCGAATAGAATTTAATTAAAATTCAATTGTACACCTCACCCAGCAGCTACAATGAATATCGCGACAGAAAGGAAGATAATAATAAAAGAAAGAAAGAATTTCAAATCAATAAAAATGAAGAAGAAGAAGAAGAAGAAAATGAGGGAAGGAATGAGAATGAAAAAGAAAGGAAGTTATCTAAAATCAAAGAAGAAGAGGAAGAAGAAATAAAGCAGGAAGGAATTCGTCTAATTAAATAACAAAGAAGAATGATTAACCCGGTAGGAATTCAGTCAAAAGAAGTAGTGAAGAAGAAGTACGTAAAAGAAAGAAAGAAAGTAGAGGTAGAAAGAAAGGAACGGGTAATGAAGAAGAATTAAAAGAAGAAGAAAGAGAAGAAGAGTGTGTAGAAGGAAAAAAGATGTAAGCAGATGTAGAAAAAATGAAAACACCATGAAGAAGAATCTAAAGAAGAAGCTGATAATGTGTATGTAAAAGAAAGAAAGAAATGTGTAAGTAGAGGTAGACAGAAAGGAAAAGACAACGGAGAAGAAAGAAAGAAAGAAAGAAAGAAAGAAAGAAAGAAAGAAAGAAAGAAAGAAATATGTAAGTAGAGGTAGAAAGAAAGGAAAAGGCAACGAAGAAGAAGATGTAAAAAAGAAAGAAAGAAATATTTAAACAGAGGTAGAAAGATAGGAAAAGGCAACGAAGAAGAAGAAGCTGTAAAAAAGAAAGAAAGAAGGAAATAAATATGTAATTAGCGGTAGAAAGAAAGGAAAAGGCAAAGAAGAAGAATAGGTAAAAAATTAAAGAAAGAAATAAAGAAAGAAAGAAAGAAAGAAAGAAAGAAAGGAATATGTAAGCAGAGGTAGAAAGAAAGGAAAATGCAACGAAGAAGAAGATGTAAAAAAAAAAAGAATGAAATATGTAAACAGAGGTAGAAAGAAAGGAAAAGGCAACGAAGAAGAAGAAGATGTAAAAGAAAGAAAGAAAGAAAGAGAGAAAGGATTATGTAAGCAGAGGTAGAAAGAAAGGAAAATGCAACGAAGAAGAAGAAGATGTAAAAAAAAGAAAGAAAGAAAGAAAGAAAGAAAGAAAGAAAGAAAGGATTATGTAAGCAGAGGTAGAAAGAAAGGAAAAGGCAACGAAGAAGAAGAAGATGTAAAAGAAAGAAAGAAAGAAAGAAAGGATTATGTAAGCAGAGGTAGAAAGAAAGGAAAATGCAACGAAGAAGAAGATGTAAAAAAAAGAAAGAAATATGTAAATAGAGGTAGACAGAAATGAAAACGTAACAGGGAAGAACAAGAAAGCAATGGGAAATAAATCGTCTAAAATCAATAAGAATGAGAACGAAGAGAAAAAAAAGGAAAAAACGAACAGAAAATGGCCAAGGAAAAAAGAGGAAGAAGAAATTAAAGTATATAAGAAAGAAAAAGAAAAGTTCTGAGAGAAAGAGAAGAAAAGAAATTATATTTCAAGTACCAGTAATCAAATCTTCGGATTTGTTTACGGTACTATTCATTCTTTAGAACCCCGATACGACACACCACACACAGCTCAATCCTTTTGTAACTTGCAACACCGCCATAATAATAATAATAATAATAATAATAATAATGTTGATTATTATAATAATAATAATAATAATAATAATAATGAAGAGAAAGAGAAGGAGAAAAAGTGAATGATAGAGAGAAGGTAAAAATAATCTCCTTCAAAAGTTGTATACCATTTACCCCCATCCCCTATCCCCGTCCCCAGTTCGCACCCACAAAGACTTCACCTTCATTCATTTTCTTCCTGTTTCTTTTGTTTATTTATTCATTATCTTTCAATTTGCTTCTTTGCCTCTTTTCCGAAGATAAGAAGCTCGGTGACGGGTTGGCGTGGGTCAATATTCGTTACGAGTGTTCGTCTTAAAATGTGTTACTAGGCAGGCTCATTAAACGTGACTTAAAAAAAAATCCCATTCAAGACAAGTGCATCTTCCCGGCCCCAAGTCCTCCTACACATTTTTTTCTTTCTTGCAAGCTACTTAGTCAAAAACGCCAACTCCATTCTCCTATGTATTCAGTGTCCCACCAACACTAAAACCTTCCGAAAATGAAATAAAATGAATACAACACTCCCATTGCTTGTATGGGACCAAATTTGTAAGAGATACTTTTCAAATGCGTATGAGAAAGAAGACAATTCATATATTCTACGACGAGCTCTATGTGTATTATAGAGTAAACGGAGGTCTGTAGATTGGGTTGGCAACAAGTCTAAAGCAAGGACAATTCCGAATACCAAACCGTGTTGAAGGTAACAGGAAATAATTTTTTTTTTAAGCATTTCACCCCAAGCAAGGCGGGAAGCCACTAGGACGCAATGGGTTACAGAAAATTTAGAGCAAGATCAGATAGGAGTGATAGAAGAAAGGATGAGGAGAAGGGTAGTGGATAGATCAAGGCAAATGGAGATGTCGAGTGACATTACACTTGAATAGCTGGAGATTATAGCTCACAGGAAAACAGGAAAAGTTCCACAGAGAGGTGCGAGACATGAAGCTATTAGAATAGAAGAGACGGCTATATTTAGGAGTTTCGACAGTGAAGGGGTGAGAGCGGGATGCCAGCCTCGTGAGGCGCTGGAACTCGTGAGGTCTGGGAACCAGCGAATGCAGCTCCTCGGAGCAATTTCCATGGAAGTATTTGTAGAACAGACAGAGGGAGGCGACGGCGCGTCTGTGAGAAAGTGACTGTAGACGAGGCGCCAGGGCAGGGCCAACTACATTGCATATCCGCCTCTGGAGCCTATCAAGAACCCCGAGGCCAACAGAAGGAGCACCAGACCATATATGGCAACAATACTCCATGCAAGGGCGAATTTTGGATTTGTAGATCTGGAGGATCCGGGGAGAAAAACTCTCTTTACGAAGATAGTATAGTAATTCAAAGTAACTCAATCCGTAGGAATTATTTAACTTCTACCATTTTATTTGAAACCAGACAGAGTGAACCAGGAAACCACACCACCATCTTTCCCAAGAAGGTAAAGTAATTAACGGAAAATAAAGAAAAGGAATCTGTTGCCAGTAATGATCGCCTACCTCCAGAAGGGCCGTGATTTAAACCAGGTTGGGGGCAATGGGAAACTAAGCCAAAATCTTTCCCAAGAAGCTAAAATAATTCACGAATAATAAAGAAAAGAAATCTGTTGCCAGTAATGATCGCCTACCTCCAGAAAGACAATGTTATTTAAACCAGGTTGGGGGCAATGAGAAACCAAGTCACAATATTTCCCAAGAAGGTAAATTAATTCACGAATAATAAAGAAAAGGAATCTGTTGCAAGTAATGATCACCTACCTCCAGAAGGACAATGTTATTTAAAACCATTTTGAGGGCAGTGGGAGACCAATCCACTATCTTTCCCAATAAGGAGAGTAATTCACAGATAATAAAGAAAAGGAATCTGTTGCAAGTAATGATCACCTACCTCCAGAAGGACAATGTTATTTAAAACCAGGATGTGGTCAACGGGAAACCACTATCTTTTCCAAGAATCCATGGCCATTCTGTGACGCTTTTAAAAAACAAAAAGAGCTCCAGAATATTTGTTGAGCAATTGTTATTCGTAACTCTGATCAGACCCCATTATTTGAGCGTTCAAATATACAAGGTAGTAGTAAATGTTTTCATAAATTTAATTATAATTAACTAAACTGCCTATTCCCAGGGACATCTTGTCTATTTCTTATTTAGTATTGTTAGACTCCAAGTACACACTGCACGGCCCAGGGGTTGATTCACAATTACTATTTCATCAAATTCACGAACCCACGCTCATTGTCCCGTAAATAATGTAATACTCCCAGAAATTCCGACAGAAAGCATAAGTTGTTTCATATATCTTAACTATCGGATAATTCTTTTTACAATGATGTTCACTCTATCAAATGCCCAAGAGCGACTCGAAGTAGTGGGTTACAGAGTAAACAGTTTATGGGGATATGTGGGGAAAATCCCTGTTGACCCTAGACTTGAACACGTTAAGATTGTAATAATCGGAGGAGCATCCTCTTAGTAGCCGCTTCCACAAGACAGCGGTTCGTAAGAAGAAGCTGTTCGAGAGGAACTTACATCTCACCAATGGAATACAAAAGAACTAAGGATGATTCGCTACAATGGGTGTGGTATTTTCTGTGTCGATCGTACACCCCCGTGCAAATCAATTGAAACAAAACAAATAATTCCGTTATTATTTACTTTTTTTTCGTATTTTTCCAATTAATCATGACCCAGTGCACATGTTAGGACATCAAATGTCTATTCCACGATGTCGTTCCTTGAAGATTGACCACAGATTCTCGATTGGATTTAAATCAATAGAGTTTCCAGGCCAGTCTATAATATTTTGATTTGCTCACTGGTAAGGCTTGCCAATGTGTTCGTGCAGCTTTATAATTTTCGTACGCTTCCTTGGAGAAACATCCATCGCAGACAATGGCCATAGGACAACTAATCGACAGTCGAGACAATAGGCGTGATAAAAATCTGATGAAATCACGGATAACGCAATATTTTTCATCATACACCCCGAAAATAGATTCATATTACTGCACACCACTTCAAAGAACCTAATCGGAGGAAAAAAATATAAATCGATTACACCCTGTCACTCCAGTGGGTCTAAAACTGACCCTATGGTGAAAGAAAAGAAACTGAAGCGGTTGTTTCAATTAATTTACACAAGGGTGTATATACGAGTTCCCCCCTTGGGGTAACAGGGTAGACTTTAGCCTTGGGCATCAACCAAAGTAAGGGCAACCTTAAATTCTAAATTGTGGTGAAGAAAACATGAAACTATGGAATTAACTTTCCGACGGATACAAGGCAAGTTATGTGATTAGCGAGTCAAGATAGACTACATCCTGAATAGACATATCATTTAATTAAATCATAATATATTGCTTATAGATTAATAAATCTAATTTTATCTGATTATTTTAATCATTTTAATCAAGCATGTCGAAAAAATCACGAAGACGGAAGGGTTTAGAAAATGAAGATTAACGTTACATTTAGATTTTTAAATATCGTAGTTTGCAAGAAGTTGGAAGAAAATTCCACAAGCGAAAAGTGCGAGAGACAAGAATATTAGAAGAGAGCTTATGGTGACATTTAGCAATTTCAAAAGTAATGAGACCTAACTACCAAACTAGTACTGCGCTTATATTCATGAAGACGATTCAGCAAAGAGTAAAACTCATCAGAACAATCGCCATGGAAATATTTACAGAAGGGGCACAGAGAAGCTCCATTACGCCGGTGGTAAAGTCGAGATACCAGGTCAGGGGCAATAAAATTGCAGAGCCGTCATGGCGGAACAAGCAGACCAGGTGTGGCAACAATATTCAGTGCACAGGCGAATTGTAGACTTAGAAATTGCATCCTTCTGTAGAACCACATTTTTATCGTCTCAAATTTCCTCATCTGTGCGGAGATGGTCCAGCATTCACTGCCATATCAGAGGATTGATATTATACATTTTCTAACGAATTTTTCTTATTTCTTAATACTTTGCTTAGATTTTGGAAGGCATTTTTTGCTATATATTCAGATATTGGTGGCGCACTATCCGTACTCTGATAAAGTACTTTCCAGACATTTAAATTGTACTTAATTTTGGTATTGTTGTAACCTAGAAAGGGTTACTGAATGAGGAATAACCAAAACGGAGATTGGAAATGAGATGGTAATCTTTATAACATCAACAAAATACAATAATCGCCAGCAGCATGAAGTAGGTAAACCACTGCCAGTGGTGGACTATTTAGACAGCATATTACAATATTTACCTGCCTCTCCACGACGTAGGTTACCGCACAAGGCCAAATTTAATGTGAGGAAATGCGAGCCCACGGGCTCGGGCCAAAATTGCCCGTAGACCTTGCATAGGCTGAATTGGGTACCTGTCTACCTCCTCGGACAAGACTCTACCCTTCGGCATAGCCTTGTTCGGGTTCCTCTACGCGAAGGCAGAGAGTTCAACACAGCAAGAGCTTCCCACGCTGCCAGATTAGACAGCATATTACGATATTTACCTGCCTCCCCACGAGGTAGGATATGACACAGGAACAAATTTAATGTGGGAAAATCCGAGCCCGTGGGCTCGGGCAAAAATTGCACGTAGACCCCGCATATTTGGGATCGGGTATCTGTCTACCTCCCCGGACAAGACTCTTCCCTCCTCCGTGTTCCTGTCCGACCAAAGGCAGAGAGGTCGACACGGATAGAGCTTCCCATTCTGACAGCTCATGCTTCCAGCGTAGATAGCATATTTCCCCCACTTGCAATAGTATGCAACGTTTTTATGAAGATTGGGACATACCCATTAATTTTCATAGGTATGGTTCATAACAGGTATCTCCATTTTGAAATGTGGATGCTGAGCTGTTCCTTTTGCTAGCAGCCATACATTCCGGGTGTTTTTTTTCAATTAAGGGTTAGTCCTTTCTTCTCGCTTTCCTTCACTACCTTCTATAGAAGTTCTTGTAGTTTCCTTTTTGTGTCTGCTCTCAACACTGTGTCATCTATATATGTTGCCGCCAATAATGAATTTCTTAAGCTTCTTTCCATGTGCCGTGTCCTTTCAGGACGTAGGCGATCAAGGCCCTCCACTTCCTCCTATCCCTTGTAGCTCTCAATAAGTTTAGTCCCTCTGCCATCTCCCCCAGACCACGTTCCGCCATCCACCCGCCCAAGCCATCCAGGTATGTCATGCGTTGCTTTCTCTTGTCTCTTTTTCCTTCTATTCGCCCTGTGAGTATCAGATTTGCCAGACCCTCCTTTCTCATTACGTGTCCCAGAAATTTCATCTGCCTCTTCCTCCTTGTTTGCATCCTCGTCAAAACCTCATCGTTGTTCACACGTTCGGTCCATGATATCCTTAGCATCCTTCTGTAGAACCACATCTCCGCTGCTTCAAGTCTCTTCTTCATCTTTGAGGAGACCGTCCAACATTCGCTGCCGTATAGGAGGACAATACCCGGTTAAGGCAGTGAAGAACGTGGAGAGTGGAATTAACAGGAGATAACTGATAAGTGACATCCATTAGAACTGGAACAGTCTACCCCAGTGAGCGAAATAAAGGGTTCAGTTCGACATTCTCTCCATCTCTCTCTTTCTCTCTCTCTCTCTCTCTCTCTCTCTCTCTCTGTCTCTCAAGATTTTTTTTTGTTCTACATTTCTTTTTCTCTATATCTCTCTTTCTAGCCACGTTTCTTTCTTTCTATCCTTTCTTTCTTTCTTTCTTTCATGCTGTTGATATTTTTAATTCGCATCTTTCTTTATTCATCCAGTCTTCCATTTTTATATTCTTTCTTTCTTTCTTTCTTTCTTTCTTTCTTTCTTTTCCTATAATCTCTACAACATTTGTTTATTTCTTCCTTCATATCTTTTCTTTTCTACATTTAATCATTTTACATTCGTCTGTCTATTTTCATAAAACATTTTCCTTCCTTCCTTCCTTCCTTCCTTCCTTCCTTCCTTCCTTCCATTTTGTTTTTCTCCTTTCGACTCAATTCGTTTTTCTATATTTTGGTTCTTTTTTTTGCAGTTCTTTCTTTCTTTCTTTCTTTCTTTCTTTCTTTCTTTCTTTCTCCATTCGCGTATTTCTTTTTATTTCTGTTAATTCTTTAATTTGTTCTCTCTCTCTCTTTCTCTCTCTTAATTCTATATATTCATTGTTTCATTTTCATCTTTACCCCTCGTTTCTTTCCCACTCTCTCTCTCTCTCTCTATCTATCTATCTATCTATCTCTCAAGGTTTTTCTTCTTCGTTCTACATTTCTTTTTCTCTATATCTCTCTTTCTAGCTACGCTTCTGTCTTTCTTTCTTTCTTTCTTTCTTTCTTTCTTTCTCCATTCGCGTATTTCTTTTTATTTCTGTTAATTCTTTAATTTGTTCTCTCTCTCCTTCTCTCTCTCTCCCTCTCTCCCTCTCTCTCTCTCTCTATCTATCTATCTATCTATCTATCTCTCAAGGTTTTTCTTCTTCGTTCTACATTTCTTTTTCTCTATATCTCTCTTTCTAGCTACGCTTCTTTCTTTCTTTCTTTCTTTCTTTATTTCTTTCTTTCTTTCTTTCTCCATTCGCGTATTTCTTTTTATTTCTGTTAATTCTTTAATTTGTTCTCTCTCTCCTTCTCTCTCTCTCTCTCTCTCCCAGAAGAGTTTTCTTTTTCCTTTAAATTCCTTTCTTTTTTCTTTGCAATCGTAAACCCCTATTACGTTCCTTGATCATGTCACCGTTTCTAATTCTACCATTAATTGGAATGACGTCAACGTCGATGCCACAAACGAACGAACAGTGCCGAAACCAAAGATGACAATAAGAAATACAGCGGTCGTCCAAAGCGATGGTAACGAGCAAGACGATGGTAGTTGTGGTTTACGTTAATGGTTACAGTTTTATATTTTCTTATGTCATTGTTGCTGTTATTGTTAGTGATGATGGTGATAGTGTTGATTCGAGATCTCATTATCCCGTCATTAAATTTTTTAAAAAATAGAAAGAAAAAAAAAAAAAAGGAAGAAGTCCGCCGGAAGCCGAAAGGTTTCTGTTAGTTGTATTTATTTTTTTTTTTTTTTTTTTTTTTTTTTTTTTTTTCACTAGAAATATTTTATGAAACCATCGGCGCATAAAAATAAAATTGACTCCACATTCATTACATGTGTACCTGAAATGTCAGAGAGAACGAAGATGCTTTGTGTTTTCGAGAAAAGAAAAATAAATAAATATATAAACCAAAAATTAACAAATTTGCTCGCAGAAAATGAAGTGATTCCAAAGTAGCAAAGATGAGCTGTCAGTGAAGGGATTGTCATTAATTTATTTCCTTTGATTTCTGGTGTATACTCATTTCTTTCTGGGTCCCAACCAGAGACCTAAGGTCAGAAATGCCATCATGACATTTAACACTGAACATTTTTGAGAAATAAAAGCGCCTATAAACACACATATTTTACACGGATAAAGTAAGGTGTGGGATGTATTTATGATTACAATTTTTGCTATTTCTTTAAGACATCGGCTACCAGAGATTCCTTCAACGAATCTATTGGAATCGTTTCCAATCAATCCGAGGGCTCCAACTCCAACTAGAATTGGTAATGTCCTCATGCGTCATATTTTTGAGATTACGATTTCAAGGTCCTTGTATTTTGATAGTTTTTTGAAGATCATCAAAGATACATTGCAGTCTGCAAGGACTGCCATATTAATAAGAAGGCACATTTTGTCTTCGCGGTCTCAAGTCACGATATCAGGGCGATTAGCTTTGATTCTTCTGTCTCTGTTTCTATAGTGAATTCCCATAAAAATTGTTTCAGGTCCTGTCTCCTTAATCGGGTCTGGGTGATTTTCATACCACGTTCTTGGAGTTTCCTTTCCGTAAGTGTTGCAGATTTTCCAGTACAGATATTAGCCTGCTCTATCTTGCCGTGTTTTACATTCAGTTGATGTCAGTACCCTGAAACCTGATACAAGATGGTTAGCTGTTTCTGGGCATTTATCACAGAATCTGCATTTTGGACTAATTATTTTGGACTATTATTATTATTATTAATATCATTATTATTATTATTATTTACTTTCTGTTTAATACAATTGAGCTGAAGAATTCGTCCATCGAAACCCTTATTTTAACATCAGTCTTGAACGTTACACCACGCAAGGCATTGAAAAGAGATAAAAAAAAGATGAAAATCTGATGGTATCAAGTCTGGCGAGTATGAAGGATGAGGCAACACTTCCCATCCAAATTGTTGAATAATGGTTTGGGTCATATTGGCGATGTTCTGTCTGTGAAGTCCGATAAATTTGTTACAGGTCCTCTCTCTGTAACCGGGACTGGATGGTGTTCCTACGAATTTCTCGCAGTTTCCTTTCCGTAAAAGTTGATTTTTTCAATGCAGATATGAACCCACTCTATCATGCCGACATTTATATAGAGTGCATGTTAACAACGTGCAACATGATACTAGATTGTCAATTGTTTCTCGATACTAATCACAGAATCTTCATTTTGATAACACAATTTTACAGTATGTGTGCTTTCTAATTTCTAGTTAGCAAGGACTTGACCTGTGCATTATTATTATTATTATTATTATTATTATTATTATTATTATTATTTGTGTGTTATGTTTCCTGCTTGTATCCTGTAGAACTGGATCCAAACTGTGGTCCTTAGGCTTCATAAAAGAATTGTCCTATAATTGATAGCACTTTTCTTAGTATATGTGATGTTCCTAGTAGGGCGATCTTCTGGACAACTTGTATATTGATGTTACCTGCAGCACTATTTTTATTTTTATTATTATTATTAATTTTATTATTATTATTTCTGTAGATTATTATTATTATTATTATTATTATTATTGTTAGTATGTTATGTTTCCTGCTTTGTATCCTGTAGGGCCGGGTCCAAACTATGGTCCTTAGGTCCTAGAGGAGAATTGTCCTTTAATTGATAGCACTTTTCTTAATATATAGGATTGTTCATAGTAGGGCGAATTTCTGAGCAACTTGTATGTTGATGTTACCTGGGACACTTTTAGTAAAATTGTCCATTCCTTTTCTCACGAGGTCCAGTGCTCCGATTACTATTGGTACAGTCTCAGTCTTCATTTCCCCACATCCTGTCAATGTTGATCTTCAGGTTATTCTACTTGGACAATTTCTCAATAATTTTCATGGACGTGACTGCTATGTTAATAAGCATACACTTCCTGAATTTCTTGTCTTTTATAATAATACCAGGTCTATTATTCCTCGATCAGTTCGAATTGGCATGTCCAATAGGATAGTTACATCGTTATTTGAGGGTAACTGTGTCTTGTTGGTGTTCATACCATCTCTCAGTGGTTTCGATTTTGTGCTTCTTGCATATCTTCCAGTGCACATATGTCGCAGCTTTGTTATGTTTTTGGTATATTCATTTTTTTTCTAGTTCCGGACATCCTGATTTAATATGGTCGAGATTTTCATCATATTTTCCGCAGATCCTGCATTTAAAATTAGTTCCATCCTTGATTTTGTGACAGTGATAGGGTTTGATCCTGAGCTTCAATAATTAAACCTTCTGTCTCATCTTTCAACCCGGCGCTCCTCAGCCACTGATATGTTTTCTGTTGGTCGCCATTTGCTTCTTTCGTTCTTTTTACGTATTTTCCATGCAACGCCATGTTCTCCCATTTTTTTGTAATTTCATTTGGCCAAGTTGTTTTGCTTTCTGTTTTACTCCTTTGGTGCAAATGGATTATTCGCTTCGGTTTTTGTAGGTAGGGTTTCAGGTATATTATTATTATTATTATTATTATTATTATTATTATTATTTCCTTTGATTCCTAGTGTATACTCATTTCTTTCTGCGTCCCGACCAGAGACCGAATACAGAAATGACATTTTCCACCGAGATGATTTGAAGAAAAAATCACACATATTTTACATCGATAAAACCCTTCGTAAGGTGCGGGCTGTAGATGTTATAACACTTTTTTGTATTTCTTCTTATTTTTTGTATGGACTTCCAGGAATCACTTCAGTGTGTCTATTGGAATGTTTTACAATTAATCCGAGGGCTCCAACTACAACAGGAACTGTTGATATCCTTATGTGCCATATTTTTTAGATTTTGATTTCAAGATCCTTGTATTTGTAGTCTGCAGGAACTGGCATGTCAATAAGGAGGCACTTTTTGTCTTTGCAGTCTCCAATCACGATGTCTGGGCAGCTAGCTTTGATTGATATGTCTGTCTGTATTGTGCCGTTATTATTATTATTATTATTATTATCTATTCGTAAACTGTCTTACCGCTGACGGCAAAAAGATCAAATTTCAAATCTACATCCTTTAGACATTTCTTTCCGGGTCCCGACCAGAGACTTAAGTTCTGAAATGGCATCATGACACTTTTCACTGAGCAGTTTTGAAAAAAAAAAAAAAAACATATATTTTACACAGATAAAGCCTTTCGTAAGATGTGGGCTGTACATCGTGGACAGTTTTTTTTTTTTGTTGTTTTTTTGTTTTTTTTTGTATTTCTCTAAGGCATTGGCTTCCAGGAATCCCTTCAATGAGTCTTTTGGAATCTTTTCCAATTAATCCGGCGGTTTCAACTACAACTGGAATTGGTAATGTCTTCATACGCCACATTTTTGAGATTTCGATTTCCTGGTTCTTGTATTTTGATAATTTTTTGAAGATCTTCAAAGATACATTGCAGTCTGCAGGGACTGCCATAACCATAAAGAAGGCACACTTTTGTCTTTGCGGTCTCTAATCACGATGACTGGACGATTTCTTCTTCTTCTTCTTCTTCTTCTTCTTCTTCTTCTTCTTCTTCTTCTTCTTCTTCTCATTATTATTATTATTATTGTTATTTTCTTGAATTTCCGTTGTATACTCATTTCCTTCCGGGTCCCAGCCAGAGACCTAAGGTCAGAAAGGACTTCAAGACACTGATCATTTTTGTAAAAAAACAAAAAAGAAGATCACAGACATTTTACATGGTGTTTTGGTCCGGTTCCTTGTACCACGGTGATAGTCCAAGGTAGAACCAATAAAGAAGAACTCGAACACAGGTATGGAATAACACCGATATATTACAAACAGGAATATATACAGAGAAGTAGAAAGTGTTAGTACGAACAATCAGGTTTAGTAGAGAGAACAATGTAGTCTCGACCAGTATCACTATCCCAATGTCTTGCAGTAATTGTCTGAACGCGACTCTGTTTTGAACTGCCTCTGACTCGACTCTTGACTCAACATGAACTACTGACTCGACTTGAACTACTGACTGACTGACTTGAACGACTGACGATATTCAGTCACCACCTCCACGAGGGGATCAGGTGGCACAAGGCCCGTTTGACGTGGGATCTCCGAATCCGTGGGCTCGGCCAAAAATATGCCCATGGAACCCGTATAAACAGGTTCAGGGTCGGTTTACCTCCCCGAAAGAGAATCCACCCTTCGGCGTAGCTTCGTTCGGGTTCCTCCCCGCCCGAAGGCAGAAAGTTCAACCGAGCAGCCGGTCGAGACTTGAACGACTGACGATATTCAGTCACCCCACCACGAGGAGATCATGTGGCACAAGGCCGGTTTTACGTGGGATCTCCGAGTCCGTGGGCTCGACCCCAAAATATGCCCATTGAAACCATATAAACGGGTTCAGTGCCGGTTTACCCCCCCGAAAGAGAATCCGCC